GGTGGTTGGGGACCCCTGGGCTAGGCCATGCCCACTATGGCCACACCCACCCAGCAACTGGGCAGAGAGAACCTGTTGCTAAAATTTTTGAAAGGCCCCCCCTGATTGGTCCCTTTCACAGGGCAATACATACCTCTACGGTCTCTCTATCCTTTGAGTTGTGTTTAAACCCCATATTTTTCTCAGTCAGTTGCAAACCCTAATGGCTTCCTTGGCATGCTATGCTTGATTGGTTCTAATCTTGAGTAGGTCTTTTGAATGCCTCTGCCTCAGTGGTGGGATTCAAAAATTTTTTACTACCGGTTCTGTGGGCGGGGCTTGGTGGGCGTGGCAGGGGAAGGATATACTACAAAATCACCATTCTCTACCCACCCCACTAACCTGCTTTCCAGCTCCGTTCTCCTGTGCAGGGCAACCAAAGAAGACTCAGCCAATCAGCTGGGACTCAGGAGGCAGAGAAGAGATGGGGGCGGGGCCAGTCAGAGGTGGGATTTGCCGGTTCTCCAAACCACTCAAAATTTCCGCTACCGGTTCTCCAGAACTGGTCAGAACCGGCTGAATACCACCTCTGCTCTGCCTGTTGTACAGACACCATTCTTTGGATGAGTCTATTTTGCAAAGCCTGCTAGATGGGTTAATTCAGTAACCATCTAGATCCCCATGTACATGGATTTGGGGAACGGGCCGTGCTATTCTGTTTTCACTTGTTTATTTTATTTATTTTATTTGTCAATCGCTTACAAGATTATAGGTATAAGTATAAACATGAGTAAGAATACAGGAAATAGGTACGAATAAATGGGGACAATAGGACAGGGACAGGAAGCACGATTGTGCGCTTATGCACGCCCCTTACAGACCTCTTAGGAATGGGGTGAGTTTGAGGATAGTTTGAGGTTAAAGGAATGGGGGTTTGAGGATGTAACAGTGGAGTCAGGTAGTGCATTCCAGGCATTGACCACTTTGTTGCTGAAGTCGTATTTTCTGCAATCAAGTTTGGAGCGGTTTACATTGAGTTTGTAGCTGTTGTGTGCTCTTGTATTGTTGCGGTTGAGGCTGAAGTAGTCATTGACTGGTAGAACATTGTAGCAGATAATTTTGTGTACTACGCTTAAGTCCAACCGTAGGCGGCATAGTTCTAGGTTGTCCAAGCCCCAAATCTCAAGCCTGGGGATTTAGGGTATTCTGTTGCGAGCAGAGGAGTGTAATACTCTTCTCGTGAAATACTTCTGGACTCGCTCGATTGTATTAATGTCCGATATACAGTGCGGATTCCAGACAGAACATTAACATGTATAGGCTTTTCATGTGACACACATAATCCAGGTAGTCCTTGACTTGCAACGGTTCATTTGGTGATCATTCAAATTTACAACATCACTGAAAAAAAGTGACTTAGGACCATTTTTCATACTCACTCACTTTCACCTTTCCCATGGTCATGTGATCAAAACTCAGATGCTTGGCCACTGACTCATATTTATGACCGTCATAATCCTCTTTTGTGATCCCCTTTTGTGACCCTCTGACAAGCAAAGTCAATGGGAAAGCCTAATTCACGATGACCATGTCACTAACAACTGCAGTGATTCACTTAACAACGGTGGTAGGAAAGGTCATGAAACGGGGCAAAATTCACTTAATAAACGCCTCGCTTAGCAACAGGAACGTTCGGAGTCAATTGTGGTCATAAGTCAAGGACTAACTATGTGCTCACCCTATAAGGGAGGGGGTTAGCATATCCGCATATGAACCTGGCCCTGCTTTTGAACTAGTGAACTGTTGCAGTTGCTCATTTTAATGAAAAACATGATGGTTTAAAAAAATACGGCTTTTTCCTCCCCGTTTGCAACCTAGGAAACAGGCATTGGCAAAGCAATAGCAGCTAATTTGCTTGTTTTTTTTTTTAATCAATGAGCTGCTTACTAATCTTGGATATTTTGGGTCTTGGAAACCTCCTGATCCTATGTGCCTTATTCAGATGGGATAGATTTAAAAATACCCTTCCGAGAAAAACATTCCTTCAAGACATTCTATGTTTTCCCCCCACCGCGTGCTCTGAAATTCATTTATGAGATTGAAAAGGGGAATTTAAAAAAAACCAAACCCTCTAGATGACCTCTGACTCATTGCTAGACCAAGGGAAGTTTCAGGCAGGAAACAATTAGATCATTTCTCCAATCTGGGTTTAATGGCCTGCTTTAACATTTCAAAATGCTCAAGTGAACGTTGGCAAATAGTTTTAGCCCAACCAGTTGGTGATTGATTATAAATTCAATGTAGAGAAAAGTAAAGTCCTACACTTAGGCAAGAAAAACCAAAAGTACACATATAGACTGGGTGAAACCAGGCTCAATAGCAGTAACTGTGAGAGGGATCTTGGAGTCTTAGTGGACAACCAGCTAAATATCAGCCAGCAGTGTGTAGCAGCAGTCAAAAAAGCTAATGCAATCCTTAGTTGTATTAACAGAGGGATACAATCAAGATCAAGGGAAGTACTAACACCACTCTAAAAAGCCTTAGTAAGACCACACCTAGAGTACTGTATCCAGTTTTGGTCACCACATTATAAAAAAGATGTTGAGACTCTAGAAAGAGTATAGAGAAGAGCAACCAGGATGATTAGGGAACTGGAGGCTAAAACATATAACGAATGGTTGCAGGAACTGGGCTTGGCTAGTCTAGTAAAGAGAAGGACCAGGGGAGACATGATAGCAGTTTTCCAATATTTGAGGGGCTGCCATTGAGAGGAGGGGGTCAATCTAATTTCTAAAGTGCCTGTAGGCCAGACAAGGAATAATGGATGGAAACTGAACAAGGGGAGATTTAACCTGGAAATAAAAAGAAATTTTCTGACAGTGAGAATAATCAACTAATGGAACAGCTTGCCTTGAGAGGTTGTGGGAGCTTCATCACCGGAGGCTTTCAAGAAGAGACTGGGCTGCCATCTGTCAGAAATGGTGTTGGGTCTCCTGTTTGGGTGGGGGGTTGGACTAGATGACCTACAAGGCTCCTTCCAACTCTGATTATCTGTATCTACCTTCTCCCCCTTAGCTTGATCACTTACAACTCCCTGGAACTGATTGGGGACGATGCTTTTGTGGGACTGATACACCTGGAATATCTGTAAGTATACAACCATGGTGGGTTTGGGAAAAGAGGAGCGAGTCCATTAGTGAGGACCAATTTGGGTTGACACCAGGAATTTGCCAAGAGTCAGGATCTCGATCAAGGGCAGGATAGCATGGCCCCTTCCCATGTGATGGGACAGCGACCTATCATTCGTTACTTCCCCCAAGGACTTTGGTGAGGGTGGAGGGAGTCACAGTCTATCAACATCTGGACTGCTGTATATTGAAGACAAAAAGGCAGAGTCTCTAGCTCACAACGAGAAGGGCTTGTAGGATTCAAGAGTCTGAGCTGTAGCTATGGAACTATATGGAGAAACTGTTGGGAGGCGCTGTCACAGGAAAGAGGGGATGTTGACATTCTCCAAAGCTCCAGAGGGCAGGACAAGAAGTAACGTGTGGAAGCTTGTTAAAGAGAGATCCAACTTAGAAGTAAGGAAAAATGCTTGTCAGTGAGAACAATTAATCAATGGATCAGCTTGCCTCCTGGAATTGTGGGTGCTCCAACACTGGAGGTTTTCCAAAAATAGATTGGACAGTCATTTTATCAGGATGGTGTAAGCTCTCCTGCCCTCAGCAGGAGTTGGACTAGTAGACCTCTGAGATTCCTTCCAGCCCTATGATTTTATGTCCTAGGAACTACTTTGAGTCTGAAAGGACCCCAAAAGGGAATATGTTTACAGTAAAATGTGCAATCAGCTTTATTTTCCTTTCTTCGCGAACATTTCATTCCAACATCTACAGTAGAAGGTTATATGTGGCTGATCCCAGATTTAGAGCCCATCTTGCTTTTTGCTTTGCATGTTCCTGTTATGGGGCTCCCTTTTCCCAGAAGCAAAAGGCAAACTTGTGTAGCAGTGGTTCCCCCACTTCTGATTTTCTCATACATGCCCAATTTCAAGTTTGTAGGCTTTACCGTTCTGGAGATTTTGTGATGATGCCCGTGTGAGGCAGGCTGAGTTGAGAAAGTTTGACTGGATAAAATCCCCCATGATTTGAGAGTTGGTGTTAGCCCATCCTTCGTCCAATGTCTTAACCACTACCCTATCCCCTTTTGCTCCTTTCTTCTTCTTTTTTTGTAAAGTTTTTTTTTAAAAATTTTTAAAATACATCAATATCGTTTCATGGACAGTGTGGTGTCTGAGTATCAATCATTTTGATACAAAAGCAATGATAATACAATGAGCATTACTAAATTAATCTTACATAATCTAATGTTATACCTAGCTATATCAACACATAATCCTTCATTTTTCACTTATATTTGCTACATCCTTCGAATAGTAATAGCATCATTTCTGAGCATACCTAATAACATCCTTTTTCAAACTCTGATCTTGACCTCTAATATTCACTTTCAATGGATTAAGTATAACGATATCCCCCCATTTCTAATTTTTTGTCTATTCTAATTTTTAATACGGCCACTCTTAAGAATTACTACTTTAATCTAATGTTGTTATGCATGACTTTATCAGCGCATGATCCTTCATTTTTCAATTATTCAATAGTTGCTACATGTTTCTAATAGTAATAGCATTATTTTTGAGCATACCTAATAACATCCTTTTGCCCCTTTCCTGAGAGTTATGAGGATTTCTCTTCCTTGCCAGGTTCATTGAACAAAACAGACTAGAAGCCATCTCCAAGAATGCTTTCAGAGGCCTGAAGACTCTTCTTCATCTGTGAGTACTTTGTGAGACATCTTCCTGGTTCCTCTTTGGACTTCTGGAGTTCTGGCAAAGTTTGCCACACAATTCTACTTACTGTTTATTTATTAAATTTTATATCCACCCTTTATTTAGGGTAAATTTAAAGTGGCATACATGCCTTGAGGGTCTCACCTGGCAACTTAGCCTAAGACGGCAATAATTTTACTTGATTTAGAATTTAGATGCTTTAATTATCCCAAATACTCCTTTATTTTTGGTTCTTGGTGCTGTCTGTTGTTTGCTCACTTGCAGACATTTCATTTCCCAACATTATCAATAGTAATGTGGTTACCTAGTTAGGTAATGAAACTTCTGCAAGCAAACAACCGAGCTAAGAGAGATCCGTGATGCCGCAGTTCAACCCTGAGCTCTTCTATTGTAGCTGCTTCACTTCAACACACAGCATGTTCTCAGACCTGCCAACTTGCTTTTAAGGATGTTCTTTTTTGTTTTCATTTTTCACAGGAATTTAGCCAACAACAACTTGCAGACCTTACCAAGGCACCTCTTCCGAGGCCTGGATTCACTGACTTCAGTGTAAGTTGTGGGTCCAGCAGAAAGAAACAATTTTGGGTAGAAAATGTTGTGACTCAGCCTAACTTCAACTCCTGGTCAGGAGGGCAGCCAAAGGCCTGTCTTTTGCCTTTGCAATCAGATAACAGATAATAACAGATAATCAGAGTTGGAAGGGATCTTCTAGGTCATCTAGTCCAACCCCCCACCCAAGCGGGAGACCCTACACCATTTCTGACAAATGGCAGTCCAATCTCTTCTTTAAAGTCTCAAGTGAGGGTGCTCCCACAACTTCCAACTTCAGTTCCATTGGTTGATTGTTCTCACTGTCAGAAAGTTTCTCCTTTTTTCCAGGTTAAATCTCTCCTTGTTCAGTTTCCATCCATTATTCCTTGTCTGGCCTTCAGGTGCTTTGGATAATAGCTTGACCCCTTCCTCTCTGTGGCTGCCCCTCAAATATTGGAACACTGCTATCCTGTCTCCCCTGGTCCTTCTCTTCTCTAGACTAGCCAATCCAAACAGTTGATGGCAAAAGGATTGAATGGGAGTCCCCAAAGTGTAGTTTTAGTAAGTTTTCATATTAAGTTAATTTAACAAAGATTTTCACAAGGAAAATAGAAGCCCATTCAAAATTGTCCTATCGGATTTTGATTGACTGACCTGAAGGTTCCCCGGGATTTTCTATGGTTTGAGGGCTATGCATAGGGGCTGGAGGCTAAAACATACAAAGAATGGTTACAGAAATTGGGTATGTCTAGTCTAATGAGAAGAACTAGGGGGAGACATGATAGCAGTGTTCCAATATTTGAGGGGCTCCTACAAAGTTGGGGGGGTCAAACTATTTTCCAAAAAAAGCAAGACAAGAAACAAAGGATGGAAACTAACCAAGGAGAGAAGCAACCTAGAACTAAGGAGACATTTTCTAATAGTGAGAGCAATTAACCCATGGAAGCGCTTGCCTTCAGAAGTTGTGAATGCTCCAACACTGGATGTTTTTAAGAAGAGATTGGACAACCGCTTGTCTGAAATGGTATAGGGTTCCTGCTCGAGCAGAGGGTTGGACTAGAAGACCTCTAAGGTCCCTTCCAACTCTATTATTGTATGCTCTATTGTATGTTCTATTTCCTGGTTTCGGCTTGGAGAAAGAAGAGATGGATGTGAATTATGGCAAGAGAGAGATGGTTTGGGCAAAGAATTAACCATCCTCAGCCCTGAGTGCTTGAAGCATGGAAAGCTGTGATGACCCAAAGTGGCGTGGCACAAAGACAGCTCAGTCAGATAATCAGTAGGAGTCCCTTATTTAGCTCCAACTTTGCCCCCAATGTCCTGGTTACCTTCTGACTGGAGAAAAACTCTCCCAGGAACAGCCTTTGGCTGCAGAGGATCAAGTTCAAAATGTGGTCAACAAAAACTGTAACTCTAAGTCCAATCAAGGCAAGATGAGTTAATTAGTTCAGCAGGGCAGGAGCAAGAATTCCAGACATGAAGGCATGGCAATAACTCAACATGGTTGGGAAGTCTCCAGGAAGACGATAACTAAAGTCAACACAAGATAAACTCAAGTTTGCTCCCAGCAGCTGCCACACTCAGCATGAATTTCTTTTAAACTCTCATTCCCAGGTGTGGCTAATGAAGAGAATCAGGGCCCATTCCTTCCCCCATAAGCCACGCAACCCACATTGCTCTCTTCTCCATTCCTCCCTGCGTGCCCTAGGATGAAGAGGGGGTGGGCCCGAGTCTTCCTCTGAACTCCCTCTCCCTTGTTCTATCTCTTCCCTGCTCTGCCCAACCGGACTTTGCCCTTCCCCAGTTTCCTCCACAGCCAACGGAGCCACACTCCCACTCCCCATCAGCTGTTCATCTTCCTCCTCGGATTCAGAGTCCGACAGGGCCTTGACAGAAAGGCACTCCCCACCCCAACCCGAGAAGACATGAAGCTGGCTCTGGGTGAACGTTTGGCTGCCAACCTGCCCTCCTGGTAATCAGCCACCAACTTCTTTCTCAACAGGGACTTGCGGGGAAATGCTTTCCACTGTGACTGTAAACTGAAATGGCTGGTGGAATGGTTGAGCCACACCAGTGCCCTGGTGGAGCCCATCGAGTGCCACTCGCCGGCTGAGCTGAACCGCACCAGTCTCAGTGAACTGCGCCCTGGAGGGTTCAATTGCATCACCACTGGTAGGTCATCCTTTGTCCTTTGGGTTCCCTCCAGCGAGGAAGGACTGCCAGCCTATCATTGGGAGTTGCCTCCATCAGCAAGTATTTCTCTCCTGGAAGGGTCAGCCAAATGGGTTAGCTCTTTGCTTTGTTTCCCTCTAATAGGGAGAAAGAATGGTCTTTGTTGGCTATTTTTGCTCATCTATTGCCATTGTCTTGAGTACCAAAAAAAAGACCTTGCTTGACATTGGATTCTAGGTCTTTTGACTTGCAGGGAAAGTCAAAAGGTTGGATTCAAGTAGCCAAATGTCTTAGATTGACATCTTCCCTCCTTAGGGAATTTGTAGCCATGGAAATGGAAGAAGTTTGGTGTTCTCTGAGCTTGCCTGTTTTCTTTCAGATCAAACTAGGTAACACCATCAGTGCTAGTAAGGAGTATGGTTTACTGTCGGTTTATATTCTGGTGACTTGTTAGTGTTGATGGGGATAGAGATTCTTTGGTTGGGCTATTTGCTGCCAGCTCTTTGGCAGTTTCTTGATTGGGGGTGTTGTTTACTTGATTGTTGGTCTGATGTTAACCTTGGGGTTAGTGTATGCTGATCTGAGTGCTGATTGCTGGTGGAGACATGCTTGAAAAAACACAAATACTCTCCTTTATTAGAAAGTGTACAGATTTGTCAAGGATCAAATGAAAGCAGTTTGTGATGTGTGGATACATATGAAGCTTCTATCTCTCTTAAGAAATACAGTAATTCCAATATAAACCAGTGGCATCCTTCAGATGTGTTGGAGAAACCTAGGAATTCTGGGAGTTGAAGTCCCATACAACCACATCTTGTGGTCAATGGAAAGGGGAAATTTGATTTAGGCAGAGGTTGCTTAGGTTTGTGGTGACTTTTTTCCCAGCCTTCTTTTCATTTTATTTTCCAAATGAGCTGATCCTACTGAAGTCAGTATTGACTTAAATTCACAACATGCCTACTTTAATTTAAATAACTTTGGGTTTTTTGAATGACCCGCTGAGCAGTGGTTCTGAAGAAATGTGTTCTTGCCCATGTGGTCTGATCTGTTCCATGGGATGCCATGTCTTATGGTGATGGTCCTTATCTTTAGGGTCTTCTGGAGAGGGCTTATTGTCCAAGGAGGAGGGGGTGAGAGAGGTCTCTGCAAGGACCATTCATCATAATGATTATAAACAACATTTATTTCTCCAGGTCTTATTCCCTTGAATGTTGGATGCTGAAGGTTGGCAGTGGATCGTAGCTTAATTGCTTTCATGACCTGTTAGTGAGCATCTCACAGAAATCTGGTTGTCATGGTTGGAAGCAATAATCTGGATTAGATGGATTCTTGGATCTGTAGTGGACAACTTTTGTTAGTCTGAAGGCTGAATTTGGCTTTTGGGAAGCATGCTGAGGAATGCCGTTCCAAGAATTGGAAAAGGCCAGGACGAAACCTAAATTTGGCTCCTTGTTGCATTAAAAATTATCATTCAGTAGTAGCTTCGGGGCAGGCTTGAAGGCACAGCTAAATTTTGCAAGGCAATGCAAGGAACTCAGGCTTGCAAATTCTTCTCCCTTGTTCTGGGTTGACCCAGCAGGATTCATCATTGTGGATCAGCCACAAGCAAAACAAGTCATAATGAGCAAATAAAGATGTTCTGAGTGGGACCTTTAAACACAGCATCAGCCCTTGCAGAAATAAATGTTTTTATTAATTCATTGCATTCCAGGCTGCCGAATGAGTCTAAATAGTTGAAGACCACCAGGGTTGCAAGATTCCACTCCTGATCAAATGCTAATCTCCACCTTCCTCCCCACAGAACTTGTCCTCTTTGACACTTTGCCAGAGCAGTCTCTCTCAATAGAAACATTCGTCTACCACGATGAAGAGAATTTGGTGATTGCACAGCCCTTTACTGGACGGTGCAACTTCTTGGAGTGGGACCACGTGACTGGGAAATTTCGCAGCTATGCCACTATCAATGGTAAGAAACCCAGAAATGCACAACACAATCACTTTTCTCCTGCCAGCATTACTAGGTGGAGACCAGTGGTAGGATTCAATTTTTTTTGCTACTGGTTCTATGGGCTTGGTGGGCGTGGCAGGGGAAGGATACTGTAAAATCTCCAGTCAGAGGTGGTATTTGCTGGTTCCCTGAACTACTAAAAATTTCTGCTACCGGTTCTCCAGAATTGGTCAGAACCTGCTGAATGCCACCTCTGGTGGAGACATTTCCTTCGTTGTTCAGAAACATATAGTGAGTATCGTTCAGCAGCACCAAGCTACATCCCATAATGAATAAGGAGCTGCCTTCTCTTCCTTTTTATGCCTATCAACTTTCTCTGTAGTTTGTAGGTCTTTAAGCGGTGGTCTGTACTTAGCTCTAATCCTCTCCTAGATACACACACACACCCAGAGATTTACAACACTGTTGTAGGAAAAGAGTAGGCAGAGCTGGAGGGTGGAGTTAAGTGTGTCATCTGATTAGAGTCCTTGCATTCCCTCAAGTACTCCAAACCCAGCCCATCCTGAATTCCATTGACCTTTATCTGGCGCTAATTTAGTATTAAACTTTAGTTAACCAGGTTGTTGTGTATAGGCTTGAATAAATCTTCTATGCTTCCTGCTGATTTTTTGCACCCGTCAAATATTGCCATTTGATAGTAAAAGAGGGGGCATAAGTTCCCACTGAAATTTGGGCAGGAAAAAAAAATAACAGCACACTATTAGAAGAATTTCTCACACCCCAAAAACAAATAGATCTCTTCCTGAATTGTCTCAAAACTGAGTAGGATAGCAGGAACCAAGGTATCAAGAACCGTTTACTTGGATGGCATGATATTCTTGGTCCACATCCTTCGCCAGTACAGATCCAATCAACCAATCAGAATAGAGCTAGAAGGAACCTTGGAAGTCTTCTAGTCTTCTAGTCAAGGATGATGTCATAATTAAGACAATTAATGTAATGAGTTAATGGTAATTAAATAGATAGCTGTAATGTAAGAAGGCTTCCAGCATCACAGTTTAGTGACTCCACCTCTCTCCTTCCCAGGTTCTTCCACTGTGGCCTGCAAACCCTTGGTGATTGAAGGCGAACTCTTTGTGGTTGTAGCTCAGCTCTTCAGAGGGTCCCACATCTACAAGCGACATGAAGCTACAGGACAGTTCCTGCACACCCAGGTCATCGAGAGCTCACGCATCCGCAAGCCCAATGACATCGAGGTCTTCCGAATGGAGGGAGACTGGTATTTCATCATGGCTGACAGTTCCAAGGCCGGCTCGACCACATTGTACCGCTGGAATGGTCACGGCTTCTATTCCCACCAGTCTTTGCATTCTTGGTATCGTGACACGGATGCTGAATTCCTGGAGATCGCGGGCAAGCCCCACCTCATCTTGGCCAGCAGCTCTCAGCGCCCAGTCGTCTATCAGTGGAACAAGCAGCAATTCGTGCGCCGTACGGACATTCCTGATATGGATGATGTCTACGCTGTCAAGCATTTCAAGGTCAAGGAAGACGTGTACATTTGTCTGACGCGGTTCCTTGGAGATTCCAAGGTGAGGTTGGAAGTTGGGGTGGTTGGTTAGTACTGTACCTGCTTCACTGGGCTCACACATTTCACCGAGCCCTAATGTGGTGTGTCTACAACCGGAGATGGTATTCAGCAGGTTCTGACCAGTTCTGGAGAACCAGTAGCAGAAATTTTGAGTAGTAGGCAAATCCCACCTCTGACTGGCCCTGCCCCCATCTCTTCTCTGCCTCCCAAGTCCCAGCTGATTGGCTGGGTCTACTTTTGTTGCCCTGCACAGGAGAACAGAGCTGGAAAGCAGGTTAGTGGGGTGGGGAGGGAATGGAGATTTTGCAGTATCCTTCCCCTGGAGTGGGGAGGGAATGGAGGTTTTACAGGATCCTTCCCTTGCCATGCCCACCAAGCTATGCCCACAGAACCTGTAGTAAAAAAAAATTTGAATCCCACCACTGTCTGCAACCTCCAGAAATGAGTATTTGGCCTAGCGTGTTGGGGGAATCCAACCATTGTGGTTTGCGGATCAGAGGTTATAAGTGAACATATGTGGGCCTTAGTATCTGGTGGCATTTTCAAGTAAACCTGTTTTGAACATAGCCTGTAGGGAAATATATTTGTGCTTGGTGAAAACTATTAATTTTGCCTGCTGCCAATCAAAAATATTACCTCAGTGATAATTAAAAGTTATTACAATTGAGGTCCTGAAGGCTGGACAGATCTAGAAGTAACCTCCAGGTATGTTGGATGTTAATTTTCTTTTTTAAAAAACAAACTTTATTGATTATAGAACTAAAATATCAAACACATACACAACACACAGAGAGAAAAAAGAAAAAGGAAAAAAGAAAATGATTAAAAACTAACAATTCTACTATCGACAGTCTATGGTTCCTTGTTTGTTATCAATATTGGTGATATATTTACAAATACATCTTATTGCGAATATATAATTACTACCTCTTTTACATTCTACATTGTTTACTAATATATTTTCTATTTTTGTTCTATCCAATCATACCAGCATTCCCAGCTTCTATAATATTCTGATGTTTCTTTTTCCTTAAGTGCTAAGGTTAACTTATCCATCTCTGCACAGGCTGTTATCTTCTGAATAACCATTTCCTCTGTTGGAATATCTGCTTGTTTCCAACACTGTGCAAAGGTTATTCTGGCTGCAGTAAGAATGTGCAATATTATATATTTGTCTTTTTTAGAAATTTGTCTATTAAACATCCTCAATTTCTACCCATCATCAGAAAAGCCTACAATAGTTGAAACTACTTAACATATCGTACCAGCTGCTCAGAATGCAAATGTTGCCATCCTGTCTCCTTGATGCAAGATTTTGAGTAAAAGATTGGGCAGTCATCAATTAACCCATAAGGAGCTGACCTTTGATGGCTTACACAACCTTATTCAAATGTATATTTCTGTAGTGTTCAATATGGCAAAGCAGAACATTTATCTGAGCTTCTGATGAAAGAACTTTTGGTGGCCATTATGTCACGCCACCATTTGTAGTGGAAGCACGTCAGCAGATGAAGCAATGATAAATTGAACAAACAATAAATAGCACATAGATGTGTACACAATGGTCCAAAGAATAAGCTATCTGAAGTTGGTGTGACTACAATTGTGTACCAGTTTAGTTCTATTCTAGCAAGAAGATGGATGCAGGTTATTACGCTTGGTCCTTTCTCTTCAAGCTCAAAGCAACTGTACCTGTTCTAGACCCATTTAGAGACCGAGTCAGGTACCTCCTTCCCATTGTCAAATTGGAAGGATGGAAGAGTTAGGTTATTTAACCCAATTTCACCTGTGCTCTCTTTGCTGACTTTAGACTATAAGGCCTCCAGGTAGAAATTCTGGGACTTGAATGAGTTCCTACATTAAGTACGTTAAGTCTATGCCTTCATGATTCTTGCTAGGTCTCATTCTAAGAGAAGAGCAAATGCCAAGGCATATGGGTCAATCTTGGCTCAATAAAAATCTAATTTATTGGGTCAAGATAAATCAGTTTTTCTTTTCCAATGGGTCATCGGTTATGAATCAAGTAGATTGCTCATTGAGAAATAAATAAAATCCCTCTTCTTGGTTGACTCTCATTTTTTCCCATTGTCCTTGCGTCTGGACTTAACATTCGGTTCCTTTCCCCCATAATAACACTCACATCTTTATAAGACTTGCTGTGGTTTTAGGGGCACCAAACACTGCTCTGTACTCCCTTTTACTGAAATGGATCTTCAAGAAATTGCATTTGAGTCATTTTTTTTTTTTTTTTTTTGCTCTCCACAGGTGATGCACTGGGATGGTTCCATGTTTCGAGATGTCCAGCAGATGCCTTCTCGTGGCTCCATGGTCTTCCAACCACTGAGCATCGCCGGCTATCGCTATGCCTTTCTTGGCAATGACTACTCCTTCAGCAAAGTCTACCGCTATGACCCCATCACTGGCCTCTTCCAGCACTTCCAGGAGATCAACACTCAGGCCCCGCGTTCCTTTGCCCACCTCAACGTCGACAAGCAAGACTTCCTGATAGCCTCCAGCTTCAAGGGCAAGACACATATTTATCGCCACGTCATCATTGATCTGAGTGCCTGAGCCCAGCGACAGTGGGGCTGGGCGGGGCGCATGGATCGAAGGTAGGAGGCAGCTACCGCAGGGAGAAGCAGCCCAGGAGAAGACCTGGGAAGTGCAGTACCAGAGGCATCCACTAGGGGGACAGCATTGGAAGCAGATGCTGTTAAGGGTGCACCTCCCCAGTGGGACGAGATAACAGCTGGCCAGCAGGTGGGAGCTAGGCGACTTAAGAGCCATAATCAATCACTAGCAAATGCAACTTGAGTGGCAGCAGAAGTCAGCAGATTTATCTTTTCTTTTGACCTGTCAAATGATGATAAACGGATGCTGCCATTGCCAGAAAGGGCAGAGAGAGCTGGCAGTTTTGCAATGGGGTTAACTCAGAAACCCCCTCCAACAAAACTCTTCATTTTATACAGAGGTCAATCGTCTTCAGAATTGCTCAGAATTTCCATTCTCCCCCCCCTCCCATTCTTATCATTTCCTAACAAGGAGGAGGTTGATTCGGTTGGATTTTCTTCTTCCCTTTTAATGCATTCTTGAAAACATTTTATTTTTATTTTATTTTTGGCTTATTTTGCCTGCTTGCTTGTATGGCTGTTTTCTTTTGAAAACATTTTTTTTTAATATTGTGCAATTGTGCATCAGATAACTGTAACCCATGCGTACCTGTTCAAAAAAGCAAACACCAATTCATGGCTGAGTTCCCACAATGCGACAGAGTCCGTTCAAACGGAGTTGGTAACTTAGGATTCAGTTCGGGGGGATCTTAATCTATTGTGGAAACCAGGCCACGATGTTAACTTATCATATGGGGGGAGTTTTTCGGCTATCCCAAATCATCGGCCCAAAATGTTGTGTGAACACAGCCAAAGAATCTTGGAACCTCTTTAAATGTCTTATGGTATAAGCTTTGTATGATATACTTGAGCCAAGGTGGCGCAGTGGTTAGAGTGCGGTACTGCAGGCTACTTCTGCTGACTGCCGGCTGACTGCAGTTTGCCAGTTCAAATCCCACCAGGCTCAAGGTTGACTCAGCCTTCCATCCTTCCGCGGTGGATCAAATGAGGACCCAAATTGTTGGGGGCCATAGGCTGACTCTGTAAACCGCTTAGAGAGGGCTGTAAAGCACTGTAAAGCGGTATATCAGTCTAAGTGCTATTGCTACTTCCCTAGGAATAAGTCACTTTGATCTTAACTGGGATTTACAGCCCAGGCCATACATACTGGCCTGTCTCCCACTCAGTCTTACTGGAAGCCTGCCTCAACCTTTCACTGAGACAGGCGCTACATTTTCCAATGAACATTTTCCTGCATTCGGTGGAACTTTCTCCAAAGCCCATCTACATCAAGTAACATTACAGTCATCTGCTGGTTGCACCCAGTATGTTTTAATGGGCGTGTTCTATTTCCCAGTTTAAGGATGTATAAACATACACAATGTCCGCCATCAAACTATGCCAGGGAGGGACATGACCCAAGCACAACAAGGGGTCCCAGGAAATCTCGATCGACCAGAGAAGGACTTTGGAGGGGGGGAAGAGAGAGAGAGAACAAAGTAACATTAAGAGGCGCAAAGACTCATCGACAAAATGGGCAGATGGGAGCCATTCTGGACAGAACTGTGAGCTGAAACAGAGATGGACTTGCGAGGAATACAGTCCGGCGTGTAATTTTTCAACCTGTAAATAGCCATTGTGTTATTCAGAGTCATCGAATCTCCTTCTAGGAGCGGAGTTAACTTTATTGTATACCTTCCTATCGCTGCACTGGAGGGAAGACACAGCTCAGGCAGAAAATACACCACACAAGGTTTCTTTAGAAGGACATGTTGGTTTCCTCTACGGGCTTCCCTTCGCAGTGCGGCATCCCACATACAATACATTGTAAATAAAAGTCAATATATTGTTTGTGGCAGTGGTGGGATTCAAATTTTTTTTACTACCGGTTCTGTCGGCGTGGCTTGTTGGGCGTGGCTTGTTGGGCATGGCAGGGGAAGGATATACTGCAAAATCCCCATTCCCTCCCCACCCCACTAACCTGCTTTCCAGCTCTGTTCTCCTGTGCAGGACAACCAAAGAAGACCTAGCCAATCAGCTGGGACTCAAGGAGGCAGAGAATAGATGGGGGCAGGGCCAGCCAGAGGTGGGTTTTGCTGGTTCTCCAAACTACTCAAAATGTCCCATTACTGGTTTTCCAGAACTGGACAGAACCTGCTGAATACCACCTCTGGTTTGTGGGCTCGTGAGTGTTGGGACTTGTCTCCACTTTCCAGATGCTCAAGGAAGTTACTCAGAACCAAAGGGAGGGAGATTGATCCCCCTGTCCTTAAAATGACAATTGGAGCAAAACAAAAACAAAAAACCCAAATCCTTTTCATACAAGTTCTTTGCAACAATCAAAGCACTGAAACACCGAGTCGAAAAAGGTAACACAGCTCTTGGACATATTATGTTAAACCACAGTTTAACTAGGATTTATTGAATAAGCCACCATGGACAGGGTTTGCCCAGAAGGGTGATCCAGAAAGTGAGCAAGACATATTCTCAGTGGTACAGAATGAAGCACAGGTAGTCCTCGACTTATAACCCTTCGTTTAGTGACCATTGCCATGAGGAAAAAAAAGTGACATGGCCAGTTTTCACACAACAGTTACAGCATCCCCCATGGTCATATGATCAACATTTGGGCACTTGGCAACTGGCATGTATTTATGACGGATGCCATGTCCTGGGATCATGTGATCCACTATTTGTAACCTTCCCAGCTGGATTCCCACCAGCAAAATCAATGGGGGAAGCCAAAGTCATTCGTGACTATATGATTCACTTAACAACCGCAGTGATTAGCTTAAAAACTGTGGCAAAAAGGTCATAAAAATGGAACTTAACAACTGTGCTTAACCACGGGGTCCATTGTGCCCATAAATCAAGGACTAATGGACTAAGTCAACATAGGTTGCTTGTTTCTGATCTTCTGCATCGTGCAACCCAGGTCTTGTTTAGTTCAGTGGTCGCCAACCAGTGGGCCGGGGACCACTGGTGGTCCATGAGAAAATTTTGGTGGTCTGCAGAGAAATGTCACCCTCAAAGCAATTAATCCAGGCTGCGCGGGAACACAAGACTGAGCTGCCCACATGGCCGGCGAGAACACAAGGCTTGCATTGCAAACAATATGAGGTAGTGAGGGGAGGGGAGAAAGGGTGGAGGGGGGAACTTGCCCCACTCGCCCCACATGCCTGGGCTGCTTCTTTCCACTTCTTTCTTTTCCTGCTTTTGGCTGCACGCAAGGAAAGCAGCAAAAGTCTTTTTTTCTCTCCTCCAAACCCCACCAGAAATGAGTTTGGGGGAGAGAAATAAAGACTTCTGCTGCTTCTGCTGCTTTCCTTGCATGAAGCCAAAAGTCTCTCTCTCCCTCCTTCTCCCTGAGAATGGAGCTGAAGATGGTATCCTGTGATCCCAAATAAAAAATGATCGATCGGTAGGAAAACGGGGTGGGGAATTTTCCTGCAGACTTTTTGGTGGATTTTCTCAGGGACTCTTGTCCACGGGATTTAAAATTATGAGTTTGGTGGTCCCTGAGGTCCAAAACAGGTTGGCGACCCCTGGTTTAGTTAATAAATCAGAGTTAAGCCAACCACTTCCCACAAAGTGGATATCTCTAATCTGGTGGCCGAGCAATTCTATTGCAACGTAAAGTTGTTCATACATTGGGGGAATGGCAATGAGATTTTATTTCACAAAACAAATGCAAGAAGAAAAGGCAACAAAACAAGATGGTGGCTCATTGGTCAGGCAGAGAACCGTTTTCACCCAGAACAATCAGGGCTGGTGGCATCATGAGAAGGAGCTCCGTTCAGCACTCACTGGATCCTAGAAGACACAGGTGAGAAAACCAAATAACAAGGCACATTTTAGGTAAGATAAATGGCGTGGTTTTTTTCCCCCACCCCACATAAAAATTTGACTCAGGAAAGAGGGAGGGCAATTCTTTATCCACACAGAATCCTTACCTGCAAGGGGTTGTTTTGGTGCCCCACTGATCTGTGTGCTAAAAGAGAGGGGGGGAAATTGAGGTTAAGGAAGCTGGAGCCAGGAATCCTCACTCCCCCTTCTCATTTTTGGAAAGGAGATTCAGCGTCGCTCTTGTCCCAAACAAGGAGCATGAAGCCCAAGGTGCTTACCCAAGGGAGCTTAAAACCCTGTGTTTCTCAATCTTGCAACTTTTAAGATGTGTAGAGTGGGCTTCAACTCCCAGAATTCCATGCTGGCTGGGGAATTCTGGGAGTTGAAGTCCACACCTCTTAAAGGTGCCAAGGTTGAGAAACACTGTCTTAACCGGAGACCACCCCTTCCAATCCGTCTTAACATGCCCCATGGCTGTTTTGGGGAAAGATCTCTTACCTGCTTTTCTTTTTGGGCTTGCATTTGCACTTTCCACCTGGTGGGGAGGGATGAGAAGAGCAATAATTAAAATGAGAAAAGGAAGCAAAAAACCACCCAGGACAGCTGACACATCTAAGACAGTTTAACAGGCAAAACAGCTTCAGTTCTTGCGTCTTCCTAGAGCGTCTACAAAACATCTAGTAGGAAGCAGGAGAGCCACTGTGTTGCAATACTCTATGGCAGGAGTCTCCAAACATGGAAACTTTAAGGCTTGTGAACTTCCACTCCCAGAATTGCCCAGCCATCATGATTAGTTGAGGGATTCTGGGAGTTGAACTCCACAAATCTTAAAGTTGCCAAGTTTGGAGGCCTCTGCTCTATGGGTAAGATCAATGTTTCCCAACCTTGGCAACTTTAAGGAAAGTGGACTTCAACTCCCAGAATTCCTCAGCCAGATTTCTGGGAGTTGAAGTCCACATATCTCAAAATGGCTGAAGTTGGGAAACACTGGGCTAGATAGACCTGGGCTCCATTCCAGAAGTGACTGAGGTTCTGCTGCAACTCTTAAAACGCACTTTGCATATGGAAGTTATTGGCCAGACTCCTATCCTATGTTAAACCATAATTCAAATCAAACCAAAGTTTATTACAGTCAAAGACTACCAGAACAAATAAAAACACTCAAGGAATATCCAGTGAAGAATTCTAGAATAAACTAATAAATACACATATTAAAATCATAATTTGGCATCCAATTGGTCAGTTACCCATGGCCAATCTATACTATAATATCCATCCTTAAAACTGTGAGGCCCATGGTCGTTAAAATACTAAAATGCAAAAAGAGTAGTAATGTAAAAGGGGTTGCTAGGTTAGCTGTGTTAAAATAGCTATGGTGGATTAGTTAAGCCATAATTGTGTTCCACCATGGCTGAGCCAAAGCCAAGAGATCTACATCATGACATGTTGGAGAATGTGAATCTAGCTGCTGATGTGAATCGGTCCTGTAAGGAATTGTTGAATGTCCAATAGCCCAAACTAGGTTTGTCTCATGAATCCTAGGAATTGTTCAAATCAGTCGTGTGTCATGGACCCCCAATCTCGGCTCTGAAAAATCAGAGTTAATGGGAAAGCGATCAGAAACGTTGTGAGGTTGATTGACACACATTTGTTTCATTGCCAATGATTGCACTGGGAAGTGGGGGCGGGGGTCTTATGAATAGGTCGAGGGAGAAACCAACTCGTATTACAGATAACAGACAATCAGAGTTGGAAGGGACCTTGTAGGTCAACTAGTCCAACCCCCCGACCAAGCAGGAGACCCTACTCCATTTCTGACAGATGGCAGTCCAATCTCTTCTTGAAAGTCTCAAGTGATGAAGCTCCCATAACTTCCGAGGGCAACTTCTGTTCCATTGGTTGTTCTCACTGTCAGAAAGTTTCTCCTTATTTCCAGGTTGAATCTCTCCTTGTTCAGTTTCCATCCATTATTCCTTGTCTGGCCTTCAGGTGCCTTGGAAAATAGCTTGACCCCTTTCTCTCTGTGACAGCCCCTCAAATATTGGAAGACTGCTATCATGTCTCCCCTGGTCCTTCTCTTCCCTAGACTAGCCATGCCCAGTTACTGCAACCATTCTTCGTATGTTTTAGTCTCCAGTCCCCTAATCATCCTGGTTACTCTTCTCTGTATATTTTCTAGAGTCTCAACATCTTTTTTTATAGTGTGGTGACGAAAACTGGATGCAGTACTCTAGGTGTGGTCTTACTAAGGCTTTACTGAGTGGTATTAGTACCTCACTAATGACAGAAGATAAGGGAGTAAGTTATTGTACCAACTTCAGGTGGTCTTCAAATTACATGAAAATTTCTGTGGCCAAGCAAGACAGCTTTTCAGTGAATTTTGCCCCATTTGACAAACTTTCCTGCCACATTTATTAAGTGGATCACTGTCATTGTTAAGGGAATCTGGCTTCCCCGTTGACTTGGCTTATCAGAAGATCCCCAAAAAGTGATCACATGATGGCAGGACACGGTAACTGTCATAAATATGAGTCAGCTGCCAAGTGCCTGAATTTGGATCACATAACCATGGGGAAGCTACCCCGGTCGTAAGTGTGAAAAACAGTCATAAGTCACTTTTTAAAGCACCGTTGTAACTTCGAACGGCCACTGAATGAACTGTTGTAAGTCAAGGACTACCTGTAGTAGTTCTTAGCTTCCGGTGATTCCTCTTTGGCAGGCTTATGTATTTCACCCAGCCATTCACGATCGCCCTCATGTAATTTCCTACTCCACAATGATGAAAGGAGACGTTGTGTTTAAACAAACGGGAGTCCTTGACCTCAGGCAGCTAAAAGTCTTGGGGTGGCTGTGGTTAATTCTTGGTGTTTGGGGTGGGTGTAAATCTATTTAAAGTATTTGCATCCTCTAAGGTAGACCGAAAGGCTTACAGATCAAATTACTTCTAAAAATAGCAGACCTCTCTTTGGCTTGACAACTTGTGGGGGGAGGGGGGAGAGAGAGGGAGGGGGGGAGAGGAAAGGAAGAGAAGAGAAGGATGGAGAGGGGAGAGAGCGAGAGAAAGGGAGGGAAAGAGGGAAAGAGGGAGGGGAGGGAAGAGGGAGACAAAAGGAGGGAGAGAAGAGGGAAGGGGAGGGAGGGGAGGGGGAGGGGAGAGAGAAGGAGGGAGGGAGAAAAGGGGAGGGAGGGAGGGGGAGGGAGGGAGAGGGAGAAAGAAGGAGGGAGGGAGAAAGAGGGGAGGGAGGAGGGGAGAGAGAAAGAGGGAGGGAGGGAGGAAGAAAGGGAGGGAGGGAGAGGGGAGGGGAGGGAGAAAAGGGGAGGGAGGGAGGGGGAGAAAGAAGGAGGGAGGGAGAAAGAGCAAAAGAAAAAACGAATGGGGAGAGCAAAGGAAAAACAGAGAAATCAAATACCTACAATAATCATTTCATTAGGAAGAAAGGGAAGGGAAGGGAGGGAGGACATGAATGCTTTCTCTCAAGGATCACCATAAAATACTTTGACACTTCAACTGAGGAAGGACATTTATTTAGCCCAGGGAAGAATCTGATCCTAAACATACATTATAAAACAGTGCAACTCCCGAAAAGTCTTTCTTATGAACAGCCGGACCGAAAGGTCTCTGACACAGCCAGCCTTCCCCACCCACCCCCCCGTCTCCCCGAATTCTTCTCGTTCCCCTCATTGTTGTTTCCACTTACTCAGGAGGATAACAATTCCCAGAAAACACAGAATGCCTGCAAAGACCAAGCCACCAATACGGAGCGACTCCCAATCTGGAAGAGAAAGGAGGCCATTGAGACTTGTTTGAGATTAGCAGCAAAAGCCTTTCTTGCTCCTTTCAATACCACCCACTTCACAAGAAAAAAGTGAGGACAGCTTTCCCCTGGGCTGAAGAATTGCGGCTGGCTAAGAAAGAGAGAGTTTGTCTTTAGGGGGCATTCTTGTGGAAAGGGAAAAAAAAATAACATTCTTGAAGGAAATGCATACAAAATAAGCCACACGAATATATAGATGTGGGAAAGAGGCTTTGATGGGGTACAATATTCTATTGCATTGCATTGCATTGCATTGCATTGCATTGCATTGCATTGCAT